ATTATTATTCATATTTATGTGGTTTTTGACTCTGATTGTGGATTAAGCTGAGAAAAAGTTGAAGTGACAAACAAGAGATCAATTTTATTGGAGAAGATGGCTCCCGAGTGGCTAGGATATTTTTCTTTATTTTTTTTATTATTATTATTTTTAGAGATATTATTAGGAAGTGTGTGAATTTTCATTTATTGGGAAACAAACAAGGTTGTGGTGTCAAACTTTTTTTACATTTTTATTTTAAAAGTATATGATTGTGGTGTCAAAATTAAAATGTAGGAGGCCAAAATATTTTTGAGTCGTATAGGTTTATCAATTGTATTAATGTCAATAGTTCACAGGGAGATGCTACAGTCCCGTTATAAAATTATTCCGTCGGGGTTTGTAAACGTTAGATCAACTATTTCAGACGGTTTCATGATGATCTAACGGTTACAAATCCGACGAACTTGTTCGACCATAGCATTTTCCTACCTCATAAATCAATTTATGTTGACACAATATTTAACTACACAATCTCTAAGCTTCACTCTTATTGAGTTTCCTTTTTGTTTTAGTGTACTTGTGGTAGTGTAGGATTTAAGCTATCTATATATAGTCTTAGTAGAATCAACTTTTTTAACTAGTTGATTCAGTTGGTCTAACTATGGTTTATTTTGTAATTTATCTTTTATTAATATATATTTCATTTTAAAAAAAAGCAACGAGAACAAAAATTTTATGGAACTATAGGTAACTTTCTTATGGAGTCATTCATAATTTTATATACTGACACATGTCCAATATACATTTATTACAAGATACGTGTCAATACATCATCTGTGAATAAATATGGATGCTCTATAAGCCGAGCCATCCGATGGCTCCATAGCAAAACCGGCATCGTGAATCATGTACACGTCTATTATAGATATGTTTTGATGTTGACATGTCTATTAATTTCGAACAACCGATTTGAGAAACTTATAGGTAGTTACCTCGAATTGGAACCTCCTAACTAGTTGATGGTTCAGTTTTCAAAATTATACATTTTTATTAAAAAGTGTGATTGTTGTGTCATCAAAATTAAAATGTAGGACAAAAAGTTTGAGTAGTCTATTGGTTTGTCAATTTTAATGCCAATAGTCAATGAATTAATTTATTATGTTGATACAATATTTAAAATAGACCATCTCAAGTTGCACTCTTATTGGATTTTATTTTTGTTTTTAGTATATTATTCGGGATTGTGCTAGTTATAGATTTAAACTAGTTGTATATAATCTTAGTTATATTCAATCTTGTTATAATCCTGCTCGAGATCGAGCTCAAGCCCTTAACGTCGAGCTTGACTCGGCTCGTTAACTTAACAAGCTAATAATCGATCTCGAGTTTGACTTGTTTATCAATATTAACGAGTCGGAATAGAGCTTAACGGGCCAGACTATAAAAAATTAGATAAAAATTACTTTATATATTGAGCCTTATATATTAAGCCCAGGGTTAACCAAAACGAGCTTTAAATGAGCTCGAGCTTAGCTCGTTTATCAAACGAGTCGAGACGAGTTCACGAGCGGCTCGTTTAATTTAGCAGCTCTAATCACAACTCAGCTCGACTCGACTCGTTTAATTAATTAATAAATTAACTTCTATAAACTATATTGCAATAAAATAATTTTTAGGTGGCATGTATTGCAATAAAACTGAATAAATGAAACATAATAATATGATTATGTGACCATATGTCACCCTTATTTAGGTCAAACGCGGGATGATATGTTTATATGCCGCGAGTTTTTCAAAGACAAGATTTGAGTGATAAACTGTAGTATAGTTTAATTGGTTCATTTTTTTAGGATTCCCCTGATGGTCCGTGTTGGGGATGCCACGTGGACTTCAGCATCTGATGTTGGCTTTTGGGGCCCGTCCTATTCAATGGCATTAAATCATTTGTTTCAATTATTATTATTATAATTATTATTATTATTATTATTATTTTTTTCAAAGTGGTAATTATATCCTAATCCCTCATTTGATAACAATGTGTGATATTCACATATCACATTAATGGATTTAGATAACCACACTAGATTTTATAGTAGTATATTACACAAATTTTTATGACGTAAGGTGGCTCGATTTGAGATGAAGACGAGACCGCCATCGCTTATTTATATAAATATGACCGTCTCCGGGTTTAGTCTATTTAGTTTTCCTTATTATTATTATGCTTTTATTTTAGTTCATGTTGCTAGCTAAATTATATTTGGCAGCACATAATAAACTTGCAATTGTTGGCAAGTGTAGGACTCTCTTTTATTTAGCTGATGTACTCTCAGTTGGGTTGATCATTATGAAGTTTTGAAATTTTATCTGATAACTCGTTGTGTTCTTGAGAGAGAATCTCAGTTTTATTTCCCGTTGGTATCACGTTTTACATCAATTTGTCATTTTTTTTTATAAAAAATTAATCGTTATATTATTAAATATCATATTTTGTTTATGTCATTTTTAAGGGTATAAATTTAAAAGGCCAACCTTATGGGGCGGCATTGGTCCGTCGAGATTGTGCATGGGTATCGAGAGACAATTTTGTTGCGGACTATTTGAATTCGTTGGCGGCAAAGAGTCTAGGTGGTCTTCACAGGCTGGAGCATCTCTTTCCAGGGGCGGGCTTATGGTTACATCATGATATGATTGACGTGTCTTATCTTCGGACAGTTCTTAGTTAGTTTGTTGCGTAGGCTTGCTCCCTATATTGTACAAAAAAAAAAGGCCAACCTTATGTAATTAGGGTCTCACATAGTGCATAAGGTTATTAATTAAGGAAAAGACCGTAGTCCCGTCACGGAAATGTTCCGTGAGAGATTTTAGCCATAGATTTTCTATAATAACTAACTTGCATACATATTTAAAGGCTGAAATCCCTCACGGAACCATTCCGTGACGGGACTGAAGTCTTTTCCATTAATTCATAATAGTGTATAAAGTGGAAAAGCAAATGTTAAAAACCTATAAATGTAAAGCCATTCAAAGGAATAAATAAGGTACCTCTAACTTTGGGCTTGTGAGGTGTTGGAAATTTTCAATATTATTTTATGACATTCAAAGATTCTTAAATTCGTTGAAATAATTTAAGATTATGTAGGAAAATCGATTATTTTTTTTTTTTTTTTTTTT